TCAGAGCAGGGACTGTCGCGCCCCACAGGACGGGTATGGCCCCCCACACTCCTGTCCCCTCTGCCCCCACAGCCTCCTATCACCCATCTGCCCCCAAGCCGGGAGCATCGGGGACGCCCCGGCATTACAGACACTCCCAGACGCATTCAGGCCGGTGCCCACCTCTCCCAGCACTCGCCCTCCTGCCGGGGCGGAGGCAGGAGGCCGCCCCGGGTGTGGCCCTGGCTCACCCGGATGATGCTCTGGCAGGTGGTGAGGGGCAGCCCCACCAGGCTCGTCCCGTTGACGGACATGAGGCGGTCCCCGATGCTCAGCTCGCCTGACCTCTCCGCGGGGCCCCCGTGCATCAGGTTGGCGATAACCACTGTGGGCAGGATGGAGCCCCAGCCCGACTCAACGATAGCGATGCCCAGGATCTCCCCCTTCTGCTTCCGGATGCAGACCTGGGGGAGGGGGGGACACAGATGGGTTACGGTCACCAGAGTCATGGGGCATGTGTCGCAGCCCCAGCACGGGTGTCCTGGGCTCACAGCCAGCTGGGATGGGGCCCAGTTTTGTAGGGAGCACCTCAGCTGCTCAGGGAGCTGTGGAGGGGATGACACAGCCAGTGGGTAGCCCACACTGTCCCCCCCTCCTCCAAAGCAGCTCGTACATCTTTGCAGTTCTCCTGCCGGGAGAAGTGGGTCAGCTCTGCATTGTATTGCTCCTGGTCCTCGAGGGCACGGCTGTACTGGCGAGGGCTCAGTTCGCTCGGGTCAATGCTGTTGGCTTCCAGGAAGCGCTGGTAGTCCACGCCGAACGCCTGCCCGATAGCCTGAGCGATGACCTGGGCCTGGGGAAAGAGAAGGGTTGTTCGTGCCCATGGCTCAGGGCCAACGGTCGCATGGCCAAACTGGAGCCAACAGCTGCCAGCGCCCTGCAATGCTCAGCACAGGCACCGTGCCCTGGGAGCTCCAGGGCAACCTGGCTCCTTCCCTGCCTGAATGGGCCCCTTTACAGTGCCAATCCTCCCCCCTTTTCTTGCTGAGCCCTGCTATGTCCCAGAGGTGCTCACGCTGGGCTCCTTCCCCCTCTATGTGCTCGTCGGGAGCCCCCAGCACAGAGACCCAGAGCACCGGGTCACTACAGCGGGACGGGGCCCAGGACCCCAACGCCACCCTGCCCTCCTGAGGGACTTGCGTATCGCCTCACATCGGCTGAGTGGAAGACGTGGCAAATCATCTTGTAGAGCCGCTTTTCCTCTGCCACCTCTGACCGCCGAGGCAGTTTCCGGCGCGCCATGAGCACCACAAGGGAGCCGATGTCGGCGATGTAGGAGATGGTCTGGAGGGAGTGATCCATCATGGCCTCCTGGCAAGGGGGACACGGGCAGAGACATTCAGCCCTCTCCAGCCCAATGGACCCCGTGGGCAGCCCGCGAGCCAGCCAGGCACCGCCACAAGCAGGAAGGGTTTGGGTTCAAACCCCACTGTGCCGGCATGCAGCTCAAATGCCTGGCACACGCTGGGCAGAAACCATGTCTACGCTAAAAGGTACAAACAGCTCCTTCGATCAAGGACTTATCCATGTATCTGGGTGCTGCTGCGGGACAAGACAGCTCTTCCCTCTTACTATAAAGCAGAAACTAATCCTGCGGCAAAGAGCTACAGAAATTTCAGGCCTCAGTTCCCTGGAGCTTGGTCTGGGAACCCAGCAGCTCCCACGGGGCGCAGTTTGCATAAGAAGCCTTGTGCAGCCATGCAGAGAGCTGAGGGATAAGACACTGTCTGTGTGGGATGGCTGTGGAGTGACATGTCTCGTCCCAGACGCGTGTCCTCACCCGTAGGCCATCCTTGGGCACGACCCCGCCAGCCTGGGTGCAAAGCAGAGATCCCAAGGCCAAACAGGAAGGTTTCAGCAGCCCCAAAGCCATGCGGGTGCTCCTGTTCCCCGCTCACCTGCGTGTCAGCCGTGAGCACCTTGATCCTCTGTGTGGAAACAAACAGATCCACCTCCGTCATGGGCTGGGACTCCCCCTCCGGTGCCTGCAGAACGAAGCACCCAGGAGAGGTCACTGCTGCTGCCAGAACTCCTCTGGGTCCCTGCCCCACAGCCGGGAGGTCCCCCGGGCAGGTCCTGAGCGCTGCCCCACACCCACGAGGGGCCAGGCTGGCGGCAGTTGTGCCCCCCTACCCTCCTGCACCTTGATCCTGTCCACCGCCTCCTGGGCCTGTGCCATGCGGACGCTGGTCGGGGGGTTCCTCTCTGAGACCAGCTGCGTGGAGCCCAGGTACTTTGCCCCAAAAATTACACCGTCCAGCAGATCCTCCGGGTCGCAAGGGCCTGGAACTGAGGCATCAGGAGGGACTAAGCAGGGGCTGGTTCCCCCAACTCTGAAAACTGCGGGTACCAACTCCTACTGCCCATTAGCTGCATCCCTACACATGGCAAAGCAGCTCAGCGCTTAGGAGACCGGCTCCTGGCATCACTGGGGGACCGACTCTGACCCCAGGGCTGCTTCCACCTTCCCTTGGGCACACCCTGGCATCCCTCTTTCTCCCTTCCCAAGCCTGAGCATCCCCCCTCCCCGATCCCTGAAGAACCCCCATTTGCTCAGTGAAGGGTGAGCTGGGATCGAACAAGCCACCCAGAATCTGCAGCCACGTTCCTACCCTGTGTGGGCGCAGAGCCGGGTGCTCCCTCCCCGGCTGGGACCCCTGGCCACCCCGCATTCAGGGTCAGGGCAGGAGGTGGTGGGTCAGGACTCCTGGGTGCTTTTGCTGCTTGAGCATAGAAGCAACTCACCCTCTTTGAAGGCTGGGCAGGAGGATGGGGGTTCCCTGTTCTGCAAAGCAACGAGAGAGCAGGTGAGGCTCAGGTTGGGATCCCAGGGATTCAGCCTGTCCACCTTGTGGCCAGGCTGCCCCTGGAGCACCTAGAGGAGTCCTGAGGCTGGGGGGAGGCGCAGG